ACATAGCTACAGTATTATAGTACAGTCTATACATAGCTACAGTATCATAGTACAGTCTATACATTGCTACAGTATTATAGTACAGTCTATACATAGCTACAGTATTATAGTACAGTCTATACAATATATAGATACAGTCTTATAGTACAGTCTACACATTGCTACAGTATTATAGTACAGTCTATACATTGCTACAGTATTGTAGTACAGTCTATCCATAGCTACAGTATTATAGTACAGTCTATGCAATATAAAGATACAGTCTTATAAGTTTAAGAAAAACTGGATAAAATTGATAATATCATCCCGGTCTTTCCTGTTCCACCCACCAGCCCTAACCAGGCTTCTGCCACGCCCTTTTTCATTAGTTAACTGTTATCCAGCGTGGTAGGGCTGGCCGGGGGAGGGGGGCGGTGGTGTCTTGGGATTAAGCTATAAAAACAAAAACCAAAATTGAGAAAATTATTAAATGCCACGCGAACCATAATTATTTTACGATCTGAAAATTGTAATTTTTTATGAATTCATGAAATGATATTAAATTTCATGGTTTTAAATGTGTCTTCTTTTTTAATGTTTTAAGGTTATACGAAGGAAAAATTTAAAAGTTGGAGAAAAGGATTTTTATGAGAAAATAGAATTAATTTCAAAAAAAGGTCAAATTTATGTAAAACTGCTGGTACAACTTTACTGCTTTGGAGCTCTTCTAATTTTGATTTTACACTAAGTGTAATAAACAAATCTATTTATTCTTCGCAGCGTTCTGATTGAAAGTGTGTAAGATTAAAATTTAATGTGAAATTCACTTTCATTTCACGTTTATGCTTTTAAATTTATCAGATTCAATGATCAAAAGCTGAATCAAGTTTGTTTTCTGTATCCCAGAACAATAAAGAAAACATCAAAGCTCAAATTTAATCCGATTTTAATCCTTTAAATCCGGAGGTTTTCTCCGAACTCTAGAATTCTCTGTGATTTATTCTTGAAACTGTTGCTCTTGCGTCCTTTGGGAAGTTTAAAACTTTTATAAACATTTCGCAAACTTTTTCAACTTGATATTGAGACAAATTTAATGTCAGATTAATGAAAAAACTTTAGAAGAATAAAAGCGGGAGAAAAGGAAAAAGCAAAATGAAAACAACAGAAAGAAATTGAGTCTTTGCCACAAACTCTGATTTTCTTTCCCCATATATCTTTGCAATCCAATGTCGTAGACCTTTGATATTTCAAACTATGAATTCTGTTAGCTCAAATAGTTTAAGCTTGAAACAGCAAATGTTTGCACCCTCTGGTTGCAAAGATATTGGGATTTGAAAACTTGAGTTTGTGGGAAAGACTAAATTCCTTTATATTATGAAAACAATAGTGATAACGAAGCTTGGTCGTTTTTGTTTTGTTTTAGACGATCGTTTAAAGGAAAGCATTTAAAAAACGTTTGTTTTTTCTATATCATCGTTTCATTTTCTGTTTTTTAAAAGTTCACAACAGTTCAAAAGAATTAAACCTGTGGCCGTTTTCTAAAGTTACCACATTTAGAAAATGCCAAGGATTGAATTTAAGTATATTATTATTATTATTGTTTAAAGAATCAATCTGGAAAAAATCTGTTATTGATTAAATGCCAAATATGCTTGATTAATTGTTATTAAATAAAAGTCAGTCAAAACTAAACAAATATAAGGTTAATACTTTTATACCTGGTGGTTAGTCTGACATATTTAACCCTATGCACCGTTAGAAGATCGACTGCCCACCATGGGGAGGTTTCCTCCTAATAAACCATTATTTACCCTTGAATTCAGGAGGGGAAGGCTTAGAAATAAAAATGACTAACAAAATCATATATGAATTGAACACTATATCTTTGCAACTCGGCGTCGTAAACCTTGTTATTTCATATATAAATTATTTTAGACCAAATAATCAAAGTGTAAAGAATGTTGACACTTGACACCATCATGATTTCAAACAATTAGAAAAGTTTAGTTTGTGAAAATTATTCATGGCTCCTTTATAACTAGAAGTTTTAAAAAAGTGAAAATAAAAATTTCAAATCAAGTCTGGGTAAAACTGGTTTCCTGGGTTTCAGTACATCGTCTTCCTTCATGTACAGTACTAACAGCGCCATCTACAGCTTTTCCTGCCTCACCGCCCCGTACAACGCTGCTGCTGTTCGCGGGCTTATACCTGGATACACAATATTATGTAATTTAGTAATTTTATTGATATTTTCAATAAACTAAATTTCTTGAAATATATTTTGGTCTAGGTTGAGTGTTGACAGTCTCTAAATTAAGATTTTTTCCAGATTCATAATGCAGTTTTTAAACTGATGGAGCTAATTTCACAATTTTTTTATTGGCGGATTAAAACCGAATGTCGAAACTTTCTCCTACAGAGTTAAAAAAATACTGATAAAAATTTACCGATTTTTAAAAAAATTAAGAACCCACACCAGCCCTAAGACCTAAAGATTGGCTCCCAGTTTTCACACAAAAAGGTTATAATCACGGTTCAGCCGTTTCACCTTATATTTTTTTTAACAAACACACAGACAAATACACACACTCAAACATTTAGTTTAAAATTAAGATAAATTCTATTTAGTTGGAAGCCCGGAAAGATTTGGCTTGTGAAGCTGGTGAGAGAGAAGAGTAGTTGTATCTAATAAAGATAAATTGAGGAGAATAAGAGAAATTGAAAAAGGTTGGGATCAGGGTTAATATAAATGGATTCAAGAATGGATTGGATAGATGGACTAATGGATGGATTGGATGGATGGACTAATGGATGGATGGGATACCTCATGTATTGACTAACAGTATTGATGATAAGATTTTTAATTTTTTTTTGGGGGGGGGGCAGAAACTTAAAGGGACTGTTCTAGTAATTTCATGAACCGGTATTAAAAGAGTAACATTTCTAATTCACAAGTAACAAGATCGTTTGGGAAATTTAGTAATTTGTCACTGTTTCTGCCCTGAAAAGTTTTTTTCTATCCCAAGGGGGGGCACCGCAACCTTTTGTTAGATTTGGTGGATGGCAGCTGACCCCCCCATAGTTACACCTCTGAGAGCTATACTACATACCTAGCTACATTGACTGCACAAGTGGGGAGTAAACCAGTCCATTTTCCGTCCCGGCATTCTCTTTCAGCAGAACCAAATAATTCAAATCCTAAAACAAAATAAAACTCATTTTCTTATTCTAATTAAAACTAATAAAAAGGAATAGAGTCTTTGCCACTATAAAGTTTCCTATCTCTATATCTTTGCAGCCTAATGGTGCAAACCATTGTTATTTCAAGCAAAGATTATTAGATCTAACAGAATTCACTGTTTGAAATGTTTAAGGTCTAAAAAAAACTTCTGGATTCTAAAGTACACAGTTAAACAACTTCATTAAATATTATAAATTTAATTTAATAATTTGTTCTTTTTTCAGATTAAAAAATCTGAATTCTGGGCTATAACAAAAACATCATATTTTATTCACAAACTTTACAATCTTTTGTCAAAATATTTAGGGAGGGGTCTGATAATGCAACCAATTAAACTTTCAGATAAATTGAAGATAAAGCATAAACTATTCATATAAAAAAACCTAAATTATCGGAGTAAAAAACTCCCAAAACAGGATAAAAAACTTCCTGGTGTTTTATCAATTCTACTGTAACCAGTTAATGCAGGATTTGTTGACTACACTACAGGTTTATTCATAAAATTGCAATCACGTCAAATTTTTATCCAGTTAGTATTTTTTCCGTAAATTTTGAAGACAAATGTGATATTAAAATTTTTTTTAGAAAATTAAATTTTAAAATTAAAAAAAAATTTTAGATTTGAAAATATTTTTAAAATAAAAAAAAGTTTTTCCAGAAACATTGCATAAATTGCTTGAATCGGATGTTAAATTAAATTTTTATTACACCTTTGTCTTACAAATTTACTTAGAACGAAAAAAAATTAACATCCGATTCAACCAATTTGTGCCATGTAATTGGAGAGACTTTTTTACGGAAAAATCTTATTTTAAGCCTTGTAAAAACACACTTTCATTTTAATAATTTTCTTTCTAAAAAGTTTGATATTCAAACTTTCTTGGAACCTAAAAATGCAACAAGGAATGGTTTCCAAAAGGGAGTGGAAAACGAAAATAGATGATTGAGATGAAAGCACAGTATTTTAAAACAAAAAATATGATTTATAAACGCTGTCTAAGATGCTCGAACAACTGAAAATTTGAGTTTTTAGCAAAGACTTCATAACCAAAATTTCTTAAAAAGTCTAACATATACTTTCTATTTCTACGTTTCTTTCTAGAAGCAAACGTGTTAGCAATGTATAAATAATCATTATATTGTGGAAGACGATGCCTGGCCACCTTAAACAAGTTCCACAAGATTCAACGGAATTAGATAGAACGGATACGGGGCATTGTACTGACGGACAGTCTAACACGTGTGATATTGATATAGACTCATGTTCTGAACCCTCTAGTAATAAGTTATAAGAAATATATATACTGGAAGTACTTTATGCGTTTTTATTAGAGTTTGACTCACGTCCTCTATAATATATTAGTTATTATTAAATAATGATAATTAATTATTTATATTTTTTTCTGATAAACTGAAATATCTGAAATTATTAATATATTTATGTCGTAAATGTATGCATAAATCAATCTACAATTTATGTCAAATTTATGTCCAAAACTGTAATGATTGAACCATCTTATCAAATTGCAGGCATATTTAATTAATTTCGGAAAATTTTAAATGCTTGCTTGTTGTTAACCTAATCCACGCTACACATCGTCATATGACATTTAAATACTGATATTTGTCCAATATAAATCCAACTTAATATATCAAATTTTAAATTTATTAAATTTTACATAAAGTCAATATGTGCATTTACTCCAACTCTGTTATTTCTGAACTTTTGTCTTCGTAATTAATAATATTAAATATATCATACAGCCTATTCATCCAGTTAACTATATATTATAAGTATCTTGTAAAGCGCTATAGTTTCAGTAGAAGTAAATATTTCTAATTACTGATAGCGCCGATTGAAGGATTCATAACTCTGATTGGATAATGAGATAGATAGAAAGAGAGATGTTACCGCCAAACTAATTCTATTGGTTCAGAATAGACATCAAGCACATGACTGAACCCTGATTGTATCAGGTGCTAATGGACTCGGCATACAGGAGGGAAATGTTATACTGTAATAAAGTGTTTGAGATTATCTAATAGTGGCTTATTCTATTACCCGTTTATCTACTTCGAGAAGTCTACCTTTGCACTTTACGGAAGGAAGTTTAGAAGTTGGGAAACCAGGAAAACAGAATGAAACAAAAACAAGAATGACAAGATCAACTTGAAACAGATTTTTCATACTCCAATCAACTTGAAACAGATTTTTATACTTCAGTCAACTTGAAACAGATTTTTCATAATCCAATCAACTTGAAACAGATTTTTCATAATCCAATCAACTTGAAACAGATTTTTCGTAGTCCAATTAACTTAAAAAAGATTTTTCATTGTCCAATTAATTTGAAACAGATTTTTCATAGTACAATCAACTTGAAACAGATTTTTCATAGTCCAATCAACTTGAAACAGATTTTTCATTGTCCAATTAATTTGAAACAGATTTTTCATAGTCCAATTAATTTGAAACAGATTTTTCATAGTCCAATCAACTTGAAACAGATTTTTCATAGTCCAATTAATTTGAAACAGATTTTTCATAGTCCAATTAATTTGAAACAGATTTTTCATAGTACAATCAACTTGAAACAGATTTTTCATTGTCCAATCAACTTAAAAAAGATTTTTCATAATCCAATCAACTTGAAACAGATTTTTCATAATCCAATCAACTTAAAACAGATTTTTCATAGTCCAATTAACTTGAAACAGATTTTTCATAGTCCAATAAACTTGAAACAGATTTTTCATGGTCCAATCAACTTGAAACAGACTTTTCATACTCCAATCAACTTGAAACAGATTTTTCATAGTACAATCAACTTAAAACAGATTTTTCAGAGTCCAATCAACTTGAAACACCGCATTGTGTACTGTGCAGTGCACCCAGACCGGCCTTTTACTAAATAAAGGATTTTCAAGCTACTGCTAAAACTATTAACTTTTTAACTCCTTCAAATACAAATCTGAGCTGAAAACTCTAGAATGGTGTATATCGAGATTAAAGCTTGATCCTCTCTTTTTCCTAATATCGAGAGTAACCTAAAGAAACGGGAAAGACTCTCTTATTTAAAAACTGGCTTTTGATTTTTCTGTACGTTATCCATGAAAAATCGGTTTAAGAATAAAATCAAAAGTCAAAAATCAATAGGATACTCAGATCATGTAATCGGGATTAAGGATATCTCATTCAAAAGTTTTCAGCTCTGAATGCTTAAACCTCGTCTTAATATTACACAGTTTTATGTGTCCCACTGTATATAAACCGGTATTATGTGTCCCACTGTATATAAACCGGTGTTAGTTCAAAATTTAAGAACATTCCCTTTTAACTACTCTTAAATTCAAATTTGTTAAAACGTGCGGCAAACTTTGAAATGAGATTGATCACGAAGCCCGGCAGGGAAAATACAACAGGAAACGGAAATAAAAAGAAGAAAATTCAACCGGAACCGGAAACAAAGATATTTTAATGTAAACTAGTACCGGACAAAATAAATCAGATGAAATTTATCAGTCTAACTAACATTGCAATCTAGTAATCTAGTAATCTAATAATCTAGTAATCTAGTAATCTAGTAATCTAGCAATCTAGCAATCTAGTAATCTAGTAATCTAGTAATCTAGTAATCTAGTAATCTAGTAATCTAGTAATCTAGTAATCTAGTAATCTAGTAATTTAGTAATCTAGTTATCTAGTAGTCTAGTAATCTAGAAATTTAGTAATCTAATAATCTAGTAATCTAGTAATCTAGTAATCTAGTAATCTAGTAATAATCTAGTAATCTAATAATCTAGTAATCTAGTAATCTAGTAATCTAGTAATCTAGTAATTTAGTAATCTAGTAATCTAGTAGTCTAGTAATCTAGAAATTTAGTAATCTAATAATCTAGTAATCTAGTAATCTGGTAATCTAGTAATCTAGTAATCTAGTAATCTAGTAATCTAGTAATCTAGTAATCTAGTAATCTAGTAATCTAGTAATCTAGTTACTTATTATATCGAGGTGTGTGTAAACTCTGTGTACAGTGTACGGACAGTATATTAAGGTATGTGTGTAAGCTCTGTATGTACAGTGTACGGACAGTATATTGAGGTGTGTGTGTAAGCTCAAAGTACAGTGTACGGACAGGATATTGTGTGTGAGCGCTGTACAGTGTGCGGACAGTGTATTGTGGTGTATGTGTAAGCTCTGTATGTACAGTGTACGGACAGTATATTAAGGTGTGTGTGTAAGCTCTGTATGTACAGTGTACGGACAGTATATTAAGGTGTATGTGTAAGCTCTGTATGTACAGTGTACGGACAGTATATTAAGGTGTGTGTGTAAGCTGTATATTTGTTGGATCGTGGTAGAAAAAGAAACCTTGAACTTAAGCTGAAATGTAATCAACGAACCACCATCTTTCCTCTTCTTCTTGTCAATTCATTTATTCATTCATCCTATCATCCATCCTTTCTTTCATCCTTCTTGTTAATTTATTCATTAGTACATTATTTTTTCATTCTGTCTCCTTATTAATTCATTTTTCATTTACTCGTTTATTCCCCATTAGTCTTGTAAATTCATTTATTCATTCTTGCAATCTCCATTATTCTTAATAATTCACTTATAGAACATTCTTGTAATCTTCATTATTCTTGTTGATTTATTTATTCAGTCTTGTTATCTCCATTATTCTTGTTAATTTATTTATTCATTCTTGCAATCTCCATTATTCTTGTTAATTTATTTATTCATTCTTGCAATCTCCATTATTCTTGTTAATTTATTTATTCATTCTTGCAATCTACATTATTCTTGTTAATTATTTATGTATTCTTACAATCTCCATTACTCTTGTTAATTTATTTATTTATTCTTTTAATTTCCATTATTCTTGTTAATTTTTTTATTCATTCTTGCAATCTCCATTATACTTGTTAATTTATTTATTTATTCTTGCAATC